AAATATGACTACAGTTAGACAAGCCAGTCTAAAATACTGAAGGATCATAAAAAGTAGATTTGGTCCTGAAGAGTGAAGGTTACATAGGACTACAGATAGCGAACAACCGCTTTAAGATGCTTTGATTGCAAAACAACTTCTCCATGTGATGATATTGGTATTTCAAGGTGTTTTTTGGTTGAGCAGAACGCCTGTTCTGGAGTTCTGTTATAAGTGTTGGACTACAATGGCAGCTAAATTTAGGACTACACATAGACTAGCTGGCCTTCCCTGGAATGAGAGCTTAGGTAAGGCCTAAAGTCTGATATGAAAGGAAGACAAAGTACATGATGTGTTGGTCAGGGTTTTCCCCATTCAACCTCCAAAAATGCTTCACATGTGGTCTGTTGTCAGTGTACTTAAGCATAATTATGTGTGTGTGTGATGTTATGATAGCCCCTTGTAAAAGTTGGCTTTTTCTTCTGTTTTTCCTCTCTGCCTCTGCCTCTGCCTCTGTCTCACACACACAGAGGAAGTGTGTACACAGTGTATAGGGAGATAATAGCTTTGCAGGGGCCACAGTAGAGCTTAGCCAAAGATCTGTCTAGCTAAAGGATGCTTTATATTACACACGCTCGCACACACATACACACACATAAGGACATACATCATCACTGACATACAACAAATACAAAAGTAGGTGCACAAACACCTAAACTAATACCACTACGAAGGCTCTGGAACACACACACAGAGCACATTAATGTGCCATCAGATATCAGATCATTTAAACCGAAGAGACCCAGTGTGAGGTCAAGTCCAAAATTTCCACTAATTCTTCTCTAATCTGTGGGGATTGATGGAGACAGGAGAAGAAGTGGGAGAGGAGAAGGAGCAGAGACAATAGGAGAGAGAAATACATGTGAAGAAGAGAGATGAAGAGGAGGGATGAAAGGTAGGAACTATTGAGGTTTAAAGGAGGAAGACAAAGATGACGCCATTGTACCAACATTATTACACCATATATAATTCATTTCAATCCCCTCAATACAATTAGTTGATTTCCTTTTTTTGGTAAAATCCAATTGTCTGTCACTCCTAAACAATTAAAATGGATGAAACACCGATAAATGTGTCATTTGTTCAAATTAAATGGAACCAAACCATGTGGCTGAATCATAAAACATGTTACATACAACAGTCCTGCAACAAAGCCTTCATAGAAATTACAATAATGTTTTGCGGAGGTGTTGATTCAAATGGATGGTCACTTTGGAGGAGTTCGCTTGTGGTGCTGCTGAGCTGCACTGTGTTATACTGGCAGGTGTTTCTATTATTTTGTCTACCCCCTTTATATTGACAAGGCTAGGCTAAATAACAGAAACCCCTCTCTGTATAAGGCAGCACAGTTTAACAGCAGCACAAAATGATCATAAAGTTGAATCAACACCTCTGTAAAACAGTTTGGACAGTTAATCACCTTCATGAGGATTTATTGCAGAACTGTTGTAGTGGACTACAGCAGGTGTATCTATTATAATAAACGAGCAACAGACTGTATATGTGTGGCAGTAAATATGGATTAAGGTATGCTTTAGATTAGGAAAACATCATCATCATGGTGAAAATATTTTAAAAATACAACAAGATTAATTGTTTTTAAATCTATCATACACTCAATATTCTACAAAAAAGAGCACATTACATTCTGCACTGGCACTGGGTGTGAAAGGTGCCTTGAATTATTGACCAGTGTGAATGTAATTCTTAGAGAGACTGAGCTGGAATATGTCTTTACTAAATAATGTGTGAGAAAGACTTGGTCATCAGAGAGGAAATTCCATGTAACAGCATGATGTTAATGTGAGATTGTGTGTGAGGGTGTGAGCAGTGAAGCATGAAGCTGTTGCTCCGGTCACTGGCTCTAATTAGTAGCACACTGTCTCTCAGCTGGTAAAAATACAGAGACTGGCACAAGAGAAATACAAAGAGAATTACCTGGAAAGAAAGTTGATGGAATAACAAGAAGGAAAAGAGAAATAAAAGGACAGTGTGTTGATGAGAGACAGAATGACAGGAAAGTGAATGCGAGGAAGTCAGTGATTAAAATCATAGAGAATAAGATGGAGGGTTCAAAAGGGCACCTGAGGAGGTGACAAGAGAACGACTGAGGAAAGAAAGAAAACGAGAGACAAAGAGCGGCAGTAGGAGAAAATACTTGAGAAGGACTCACAAATAGAGGGTCCTGAGCAACATTTCAAAACCTCAACCTCAAAAGTAAATGGCATGAACCTTATCCCGGTGATCCCAAACAGATCTCTCAAACAGTGGTTTCATACACACATAAGCGGTGGTTTGTCTGAGGAAAAAATATGATCACTTTTTCATTTTGAGTGTTTCAGTGTGTTGTTTTTTGTGGTGGTACAGTTTTATTCATTATTTGTTTGCCCAGCTCTTGTTGCTGTCAGAGACGAGACTTTTCCAGTTGACCACTTATTTTTTTTCTCCTGACCTCATGGAAGGAATTGTTAGTTACTAATTGTCTCAGTTTTGTCACATATATAAAACGGACATTGACACATTCTTGATATTTAAATTTTTCTATTAGCTAAATTGTCCCAATAAGGGAATCAGACTTTATCTGCATAAATCGACAGAGCAGAGATGTAATTGTTTTTGCCAAAATGACTGACAGTATGTATTTGAATGGAAGCTTGGATGAAAGACCAATGAAACAGACTTCCTCAGTGAAAATGCATGAAAAGAGAAGGATGAAAGTCTATGTCAAGTCCCGCTGCACAGATAAAATGATAGTTTTGGCAAAGGGTGAATGGATGTTGTGACAAACATTGTGTCGTATCCCAGATGCCAGTACTTTCTTTTTTGGATGGATTTGTCTGGGTGTGAATTCTTTCCTACCCCTTTGCACATACAAACATCTTAGCAGTGATGACAAGAAGATCCAAATGCAGGCTGCTGAAACAGGTTTTCTCCCTCAGAGCCCAGTCTTACTCTCTTTGACAGGCTTGCTCTTGTGCCTCCCTGGGCACGACCAGCAGGGAGGAAACCTCAGGGCAGCCCTAGGAAACTGTGAAGGGATTTGATTTCTCTATAAGCCAGAGGGCACCTGAGGATCCCCAAGAGGAACTGAAGTTTGTTGCTGGTAGTCCTGCTTTGCTTGCTGTGCTGGATCTGACATGAAAATGGAAAACACTTTCAAAGCTTCCTCTTTTTCTTCTGTTCCTTCAGCCGCTGAGGGGCTGGTGAGGGAGAATTTTGATAGGCCAATGTGTTGATGAATTTCAAAAAGAAAAAAGAAAAGAAAATAGGAAAAGGAATGCAAGAGATTTAAGAAAAGGCTCAGACATTTCTCTGAAGCTGACTTCCACCCTTTTATCCATATGACAGTGACTTTCACACATATGGTCCAATAAGACATTGCACATCCTGCATATGTGTTTAATAAACAAACAGCTACTTTTACAGTGTGACTGAGAACATAAAGTGTAAATAACTGATGGTTCAGTCTCACAAGACCTGAAGCCAGGAGATTCTTATTTTAACTGAAAAATGCATCAAACCAGATGCTCTGATAACTAATAAGAGATGTTCCTCTTCTCCTCAGCAACTACCAACATTGCGTGTTTGTGCACGGCACTGAACAAATAACCTGATCCAGCTGCACAGACACAAACACCAGAAGAGTGACAGCTCTCATAGGGATATGCATAACTGACTGACCATGCATCAAGCTGAGCTGTCCCTGAAAATGAGCATATAAACACAAACACACAGATTATTAAAAAAAGAAATATCTAGACAAGGGATAGTTTTTTGTAAAGGTTTAGAGAATTATTCTTAAACATTAAAATAAATGTGCTTACAACAGCATTGATTTCTTAAACAGTCAGATATTGCATAGTGTAGTGTCTCCAAATGACAGCAAACGGATGTTTTAATTAGCTTAAGTCCCAGAATGACAGTAAATTACCGCAGTTGGGTTCTGGGAGTTACAGTATTTATGAATTTCACTGTCCATTACAGACTGAGACACTACTGAGGAAAAGGCAAGAAAACCCCCAAATGAATTGAATTAATTTAGAGGATAATGACTTAATGGGAAGTAAAAATATTTCATCACTGTAACAATAATAAATAGTTTCTGTTCTGTTTAAACAAGTTTTCCCTTCCTCCAATAGAGGGCAGCAGCTACACTGCAACATGCAGCATACTCAGTCTTCACTTCACTGCTATATTGTTGGTCCATAGCAGAAAAAAATGTGTGCAGTGACTAAGAAAGGCTGCAGGATGCGCTTGAGCAATGCGATTAATCCAAAGGGTTTATTAGAAGGCTGCAGGATGCGCTTGAGCAATGCTTATTACCAGATGATTTATTAAACTTAGCCAAACCAGTTTGAGTTTGGCTGGAAGTGTGTATGACCATGAGACCTTATCAGTCAGTTTTTTTTTAAATATTGACTGTATTAACATTGGACTTCATGGCATGTGTCACAGTCATAAAAATCAAATAGTTGTATGTGTAATTCCAATAACTCAGATCTCTCTAACAGCATTTTATTGCCATCTGCTCGTTGTTGGAGTATTAATCAAAACGGACATATAGACACTCCCCAAGAATGATGCATTAGGCTCTTTGGAGAGATGAAACAATACATGGAATAAAAATAGTATATAATCACAAAGCAGATCATTAAAGTCATGTAAGAGTCATTATCAGAGGAAGAGTTGCTAAGATATGTGCACTGCTGCCATAGACTGAGCGTTTATAGTTCTTGTGTAATATTCTTGTGTATGGGAAAGTAGTCGCTTTACACACTGTTACTAAGTGGAAGATGGGACGAGTGAAAGTTTGTAGAGCGCTCTCACTGTCTTTCCTGGTGACATCAAGGGAGAGAGAGAGAGAGAGAGAGAGAGAGAAAGAGAGAGGATTTGGGGGGAACCTAACTGCCTTTCTCACCACCTCTAGGCGTACCAGTCTCTGTTGCGCCTCTGCGCTCACAACTTTTTTCTGATTACAACTCCTCTGAAACCTTCACGTTTTACTTCCTGTCGGCGGAGGGATGTTCCTAGGAAGGAGGTTACAGCCCAGCTGAACATTTTCACCTTAGATAGTTCATGAGTCTGGCTGATAACTTCTGGAAGAGTTTGTGAATGGGGAGCATTTAGGGAGACTTTTACGCATCGAGTCGAGTGACGCTCGGTGAGATATTTGACAAGAAAACCATTTTCTTTGCAAGTGTCAAAACCTTATCCTTGTTTTCTTTATTTTATTCAATGGGAAGGGAGCGTTTTAAGGAGAGTCCGATTGGCCGAGTCTCCTCAGAGAAACTTTGGTAAACTTCTGAAACAGCGAACTTAGTTTGATTTCGTTTTTCATCACCTTTTTAAACCTTCAGTCGAACGGCCTGACTTGACCTTTTTCGGGATTCTTACTTCCACAACGTCTTATCCCACCACTGTGGATTTTCAGTTAACTTAGGTTTGGAAGTTTTTCAGTGGATATCATGCCTCCGACCGGGCCGGAGAAGCTGGCTGCGCTCTGCCGGGTTTGGGCTCTGGGTTTCGCGTTGCTGTTGTACTTTGCTTCAGTGAATGGATGCCCACACAAGTGCAGCTGCTCCGGTTCGCATGTGGACTGCCAGGGTCTGGGTTTAAAGAGTGTACCTAAAGGAATACCGAGGA